GGGGGGGGGGGGGGCGATACCCGCGCAATCATGCAACCTTGCTTTATGGCTGAATCACTCACACACGTTCATAGGTAAGCCAATGCAACAGCAACGCTTGTGCATATGTCGACGTCTCGCAGTTTGACTACATTGGTTATACCATCCGTGATCACAACTACCGCTACACCGCCTGGGTCCCCTTTGACAACAGCACCATGCGGGTGTGGCTTCGTTTGCGTTTGATCTCTCGCGCTGCTCCTGGAGAACATGTCGTGTGGTTGGAAAACGAAACAAAAAAAAAACCGCTGAGGAAGTGCTTGCTGGCTTCCGTAGGTGGACTGGTCCCGGCTACAGGCCGAAGAGTTGTACGATTTGTCTGACTTTGATGGACGAGACTTTGACTATGATGGCATCTACGGCAACGTTGCTGGAAATTCTACTCATCAGGCCACGGTTCGCACCGTTAAACCCTTCTCTGCATCGCTCTGCAATCGACCAAGCAGCGACACTTGTCTATATCCGAAACTCATCAAAATGAATGGCGTGACACGTTCATGAACAATACATAGGTCAAACGACTGCGACAGGCCCTTGAGGCCGCGGTGGCCACGTGGCACTAGAAGTTTTGGCGCATCTGAGTTACGGTCGTCGGAAGGGGCATGCTCAAGTTTTGGGTTGGGCTCATTATCAATCAATTGGTTAAAAATCATTCGTATCCTAAACTCCCCAAGCCAAATGAAAAACACCACGCATGCAATAACACATAACACACTCAATGGAAAACATCGACACCAAATGGATAAAAAAAGAAAAAGCGAACAACTAATGGGAGACCCTCAGCAGCAGTTCTAATATCCTGCTGATGAGGTCGAACCGAGCCCAATAGGCATCGCCGGCAAAACAAACTCGGGCATGCTAATCATATAGAGCGAGCTTACAACAAAGTCACCTTTGTGGGGATGACCAAGACGCCGCACTTATCAGGGCAGGTGAAGTAGGCATGGTCGCCGATGAAGCCATTATTGTTGCCGATGGCCTCGTCCAATGCAACACCGCAACGCAGGCCCCGCTTTGTCATGTGCGGGCCAAAGTACTTGAGAACGCCTTCACCGTATCCCTCGACCAGGACGCGACGACCAACATCGGCGGTGCTTGATGGGTGCGTGGGCACTGACTCCCGCTGGTGCATTTGCACATCATCAGGTTCATCGAAGCCAAACGCAGTCAGGCCCTCCAGAGCCGACTCTTCAAACATCTGGTTGATCTGAAGGGCCGGCGCATCGGTGCCAATGGTGGCCTGTGCCGTATCCAGCTGAGTCGAATCCAGCGTGGAAAAGCCAGAGGGAGGTTCTTCCGATTCATCTTCCTCAATCACGTTCTCTGATTGACCCATATCATACAGTGCATGGGCATCGCTAAAGTTCTCCGTCGTATCGACCTCATCTTCACCGTTGCCCATATCATAATGCGCTGCAAAATCTTCTCCTTCAGGCTGAAGGGGCTCTGCCAGGGAGACCTTGGATACATTGACCAGCACGCCGTGGCCACTCTGGCAATCAAAATACTTGTGACCCTGTGATCAAGAGAAAAAGGGGAGCCAGGCAAGATACGTCAAAAGGTAAGAGGGGCAGCAATTTTCCACAACCACAAGCACATGAAAATTGAAAGCAAAGACCCGAGGGCACACTTACGCCAACAGTGCCATCGTTATTGCCAATAGGTTTGTCGAGTACCACACCCGCACGCAGGCCAGCCTTGCTTTGGTGCGGGCCGTAAAACATCAGAGTTCCCATCGTGTTGTAACCCTCCACATACACGCGTTGCCCAACGTCATCCTTGGTCACCACGCGCGAGGTGACCTGCTGAAGGCGCGTCTCTGCTTGGCCGCCGTTGTCGTACAACTCCGAGCCTTGCGCTGAGGTGCCTTGGCTATCGGCATCGCTGATGCGGAGATAGCCACCCTCCACATCGTCGGTGATGAGGTCGGACAATTGCTCGGCCAGCTTGCCGAATGACGGGCGGAAACCGGGCGTCTCATCCCAGCATGCCAACATCAAATCATAAACCGCCTTGGAGCAGCTCTCGGGGCACGGGAGGCGATAGCCTGCAGACACTTCAACCCAAACGCGCTGATTGCTCCAACCGTCGTATGGCAGACCAGCCTTGGTGTAGATTTCGTAGAACAGGATGCCTGCAGCCCAAACATCTGTCGACTCGCTAAATTTGCGTTCATCCAGAGCCTCGGGCGCCGTCCAGCGAACCGGCAAGTTGCCCGAGCGCGAGCGGTAGTAGGCATCGGCACCATCATTCTCCTCGCGTGCAAGACCAAAGTCAGCAATGCGGCATCGCATGAGGGCATCCAGCAGCACGTTACGCGCGGCCAGATCACGATGAACAAAGTTCTTTTCGTGAATGTGCTCCATGCCAAGGGAAATTTGCTTGCAGAAGCGAATCTTTTGTGACTCGGACACATCCGGGTTGTTTTCGAGGTACGACTTGAGGCTACCCTTTTCGCAGTACTCCAGCACAACAAGCAGCGGCTCGCCGACCGTGACAACGCCCACCAGCTTGACAACGTTGGGGTGATCTAGTTGCACCATGACGGCCGCCTCCTCCAACAGTTCTTGGCGGTCTGACACCCCGGCAGTGTGATGCAGAGACTTGACGGCCACCAAAAAGCCAGGATTGGGTGACTCCTCAAAGAGCGCCTTGTACACCAAACCAAAGGCACCACGGCCCAACTCCTCCAGCATGGTCAGATTGGCACGCTTGAGCTCGCGAGGAATGCGAACATCATCACCGTTCTTCAACTGCTCAATCATGTTGAAAACTGAGTTCCAGTCGGCGGGTCGGCGCGCATGGGAACGGGCCCGCAGCACGAGAAAAACGATCACCAATACCAAGCAAAAGGCGACCGCTCCGGCAACGCCAATCGTCATGGTGCTTGATGCATTCGAGGCCGACGCCAGGGTGCCGTTGCGGCTTTCCTGAACGGCAATCTCATCCACGACAACGACAAACTCGCACGAGTTCAAGTTACCGGACATGTCTGTTGCGTTGCAAACGACCGCCGTGCGACCAATGGGATATGAATCACCAGGTTCATGCGAACAGGTCAGATTGGCAACGGCATCGTTATCGGAGGCCTCGGCACGGGTGTAGTTGACCACTCGGGTGGTACCGGTTTTCGTCTCAACGAGATTGGGCGCAAAGCATCGGATGGTAGGCCCGACGTGATCTTCAACGTTGATGACCACAGTGCCGGTTGCTTGGCGAGCCCAGGCATCGAGGACGCGCACCGTTACGCTGTGCACACCCACGCCAAGGTCGAAGGTAGGCTGTGGCTCCACAACAGACACGCCCAAGTTGGCGTTGTCCTGCATGTCCAAGATGAAGTCATCGCGATCAACGGTGACGGTGGCTGAGTTGGCTGAAAGGTTGTATGTATTCATGACTTGCAGCGTGAGGTCGGGGGCTTGCGTGTCGATGACACGAAGGGAGGAGGAACAGTTGCTGGTCAGGCCAAACCAATCCTCGACCTCGTAGAGAATGTTAAAGGCTGGGGCCGTGGCCAGCTCAAGTGTCAACTGCACCTGATCAGTGGTTGAGCCCACCGAGAAGGGAACGCTACGACCACTGACGTCGGCATTGACACCATCAACGAGCTCAACCCAAGGACCTGAGGAGCCAAAGCGGCCAAAACGACGCAAGAAGCGCACCCCACGCGCGTCACTAAACACTGGCAGGGTCCAGGAACGAATACCATAGTTGGTGTTCTGCACAGCAGAAAAGCTGGTTGACGTGGGGCAGCTGCGGATGCTTGGGGGAATGTCGTCAAACATGACCGCTGCGCGCAGGCCATCCTCGACTTCCAACTCCGTGCCATCGTGAAGAAGGATGATATCAACGCTGCTTGTCGTGGTGAGCTGGTACACGTGAGTTTGAGAGGTGCCCAGATCGACGGCAGGCCAGTCAAGGTTCACTGTGATCGTGTCAAAGTCGACTGCGCAGTCATAAGTCAAGGAGCTTGCTTGAAAGACGATGGCACCAGAGTTGGGATCGATGCGAATGGTGCTGCCACGCAGAGGCTGAACGCCTTGCAGTTCGGGGCACGAGATTTCTGAGCCATCCTCGTTAACGAGCTCAAAGGTGGCTGTGGCGCCCGAGGCCGTGGGGGCACCTGAAGCCGAGTTCCAAGTGAGATCAAACCTAAAGAAGTAAGCCTGTAGCGTCTCAGTCTGGCGGATCATGATGGGGTCACTGCCCTTGGTGTTGATATCAAAGTGCAGACCAGTTTTCGTTCCGAGATTGGAAGAGAACGGCAGGCGCTGAGCCGTTGCGTCCAACAGGGCAACCTTCTCGACAACGCTGGGATCGTACTGTGGCATATCCACAATCACGCCACGGGGCTGTGCCACCATGTCCGCGGCCAACCCGGTGACGGGGTCCTCTTCGTACGACACGTAGATGCGGAAAGAGCACGTCTCCGCTGCGAGAGCCGCCTCGTCGCGAATGTCGTATGTCACGGTGTGAGGGGAGTTGAGAACGGAAAAGTAGTCCCCGGGGGCATGGCTGCGCTGCAACGTGGCCTCGTCGAGGGCCACGTTATCAAAGGCGATGGGCTCTGTCCAAGTGACAGCAACCGTGTAATTGGGAGCCAAGGCCGTGGCGTATTGATTGGCTGGGCAGCCCAGGAAGTAGGGCGGAATGATGTCGGAGAGCGTCAGGTAGGGCCCCGGCTCCTCGGTGAAGATGCCGGCATCGGTCGAGTTGTATTGCATGGACACGGACGATCCGTCAGCCGGGAAATATGTTGTCAAGGCACGGCGGCGACGAGTCGGCTCTGGTACTGCATTGGGATTATTGCTGGAGAACGGCATGTTCACGTCGATGGTCGTCCAGGACATGCGGCCGGTAAAGGTCTGCGATGTAGCTTGGACCCGGAAGCAGGCAAGGTCATCGGTGTAGCCCGAGCCGCCATCTGTAAAAGTCAGCTCGCTAGTAGCGCCATTGAGAGAGACCTCCGCAGGAAGCAGATTGTAACCCGAGGAGGGCATAGTACCCTCAGAACACCACACCAGTGAGAGCCGGAGCGCAGCCGAGAGCTCGTCGGGGAGGTCCAGGCTGAAAGGCTGGTTGGGCCCCGCAATGCCAAAGGCAAAGTCGTTGTCCAATAGGTTCGTCGTAACTGTAAAGGAGGAGAGGATGAGCTCGCCGTCCACGCGCGGGCTCTTCTCAGCAATGTAATCGGCTGCCTTGCGGGTAGTTGTTGAGAAGGTGTGGGCAATGAGGGAGGCCGTTAGTTCAAAGCCCTGCACGATACTAATCGTGAAGGCGCAAGTAGGTTGGGCCCCCACATCCATCGCCTCAACGACGCTGTACGTGACCTGGTAGTCGCCGGCGGCCAGCGTATACGAGGGGGGCTGGGTAACCTCGACGCTAAAAAGGTTGCTGATGGTAGGTGGGAGGGCAATGGTTCCAACATCAACGGTCACGCTCTGACGCTCGCCCAAGTAGCTGGTCATGCGAGTGATCGCAGGACAGCCTGCAAATCCTACCACGGCCACCTGAACCGTCTTGGTCGTGACGCAGCCACCCGCGGTTTGCTGGACTTCGTCGAGGCGGCACTCGGTGCGGTTGTCCTTGGCCTGGATGGTGAGTGTGAAGACGCTTGGGCTGCCGTCAACGCTCGAGGCCAACAAAAGCTCGCCAGTGGTACTGTTGAGGGCAAAGGCCGATGCAAATGCCGAGTCCGAGACGGCGCTGATGGCATAGGTGATGGAGAGTGATTCGTTGGTCGAAGAGCGAGGCGTAGCCACAAAATGGGTGAGAACGGTTCCCTCAGCCACCTTCATGTTCAGAGAAAGTGTTTCAACAGCCACAGTGAAGTTGGGGGCCAGGGATGCCGCTGTGCAGCCAAGGCCTTCGGATATATACCCAGATATGCACGAGTCACAGGCAAGCAGCTGGAAGAAGGAGCCACCAATTCGACTTTGCATGACACCTGTATCAAAGGAGGCCTTGAGACAGCATTGGCCGTCATCTGTGGCCGTGTCATAGAGGAAAAAGGCGACGCAATCGCTGCTGGCTTCGCAGAGAGCGGCGCATTGATCTGAGGTCGACCCAGTGCCAGTTAAAGACACGCACTCGGAAGGCTGATCGGACGACGTGGCGGCATTGGGCATCTGATCAATCGACGAGAGGAGGTAGCCGTTGTAGTCACCTTGATAGGAGCACTGAGAGCAGGTGCCCTCGCCCGGGCAGGTGCACAACTCGGTGTTATTCCCAGTCGGATTGCACACGTCAACGGGTTGGCAAATGCGATCATTGGTCAAGGAGGCTCCCAGCACCTCCCAAGAAACGGTCACGTTGCAGGTGGGGGTCACTGGCGTGCAGGTGGCAGCGTTTGCGGTCGTGGAGAAGGTGCCTACAGTGCAGGACCGGCAGATGCGGTCCTGGTAGGTAGAGGGAGCGTAGTTGACATACGAGCCCGCAGGACAATCAGACCAAGGTTGGCAGTAGGTTGCATTGGCAGCAAAGGTGCCTGAGGCACAGGTCGTGCAGACACGATCCGAGGTGATAGTGGGCGGCATCGTCTGTACTTCGCCGGCGCGGCAGGTGGTCCACGTGTTGCACTGCGTGGCCGTGTTGGTGGTGGCCGTAAAGCCAGCAGCACAGCTGCTGCAAGCACGATCGGTGCTTGAGGTGGCGAACGTTGTCACGTATTGCCCGGGTGCACACGTGCTCAGCGTCAGGCAGCTATCCGCGCCTCCGTTGGGCTGATACTCGCTTCGCTCCACGGAGCAAGCCACGCAAGTACGTGCCGTACTGCTGGTTGGGCCGACGGCTTGATAAGAGCCAGCTGCACACGGGGCAGGCTGAGCAGTGGGCTCTGCTGTGGCTGCGAACGGACAGTACTCAATGCTGGCATCGCAGATGGTGCAACTGGCCGCGTTGAGAGAGTCGCTGTATTTGCCCGCAGGGCAAACGGCACAGGCGCGATTTGAAGTTGGCGTGGGAGTGGCTGTCACGTATTGGCCGGCAAGACAGTTATCGTAGCTGTCACACGATGTGCGACCAGCACCGCTGGTGTATGATCCTATCAAGGGACATGCGTGTTGCTGAGTTGCAAGAAAGCGCATACAAAGGACGGTTGTGGACTGTATCGTGTGGGGTGTGGTTGCGTGCGCTCGAGACGCGACAAAAAGTGCTTACCTGCGGGGCAATCTTCGCAACCAGAGGCCTCTTGGCTGTAAAACTCGCCGGGCTGGCACGCGGTAGCACTCGTGTAGCATTCCTGGGCTCCTTCACCAGAGATGGTGTCGGTTGGGCAACTGGTGCAAGACGGAGCGTTGCGCGTGTCACTGTAAGTGTTGGCTGGGCAAAAGTCGCACTCGCGGTCACTTGAGGTGGTAGCAGCGGCGGTAATGTAGCTGCCCTTGGCGCACGAGCTCGCAGTCAAGCACTGAATGTGTTCATCGTTTGTGTATGAAGTACCAAGGGTACAGGCCGTGCAGGTTGAACAAGCTTGAGCACCGCAGATGGAGCCAGCTGGACAAGAGTGGCACGTGTCAGTACCACCGCTCGAGTACATGCCGAGGCCGCAGGCAATCTGGCTGGTTTGATCGGCGCTGGCCACGTAACCAGCCGAGACGGCGGTACACTGTGTGGCACCAGAAGATGCTGAATAAGTACCCCCAGGGCAAGCCTTGCACTCGTAGGTGGTTTCCGATGCCTCGGTGATGACTGCGAGGTACGTGCCAGCTGCACAAGGCACACAGAGGGAAGCATCGGTGGCGCTTTGAATGTGGCCGACAGGACAGCTCACGCACGAAGTGCCTGAAAGGTATTCGTTCTGGGCGCAGGGTTCGCAGGTTCCGTCCACGACTCGACCGGCGCACACTTCACAGCGGAGCTGACCCTCCTGCTCAACAATGACGCCGTCGCAGTCGTAGCAGACCGTGGCGCCCTCGGAAGTTGCCAGCTTACCCTCGGGGCAAGTGAGGCATTGAGTGTGATCGTTACCCGACTGGTAGGTGCCAATGTCGCACATTTCACAGCCAACGTTGAGACCGTTTGAATTTTCTACAACGACGAAGCCACCTGTAGAGCAGTCCTTGCAGGACGCCAGGCCGGTTTCGTCGGCGTAGGAGTTGCCAAAACAATCCACACATGTGCCACCCTCGGCGCCAACCTTGCCAACGGGGCAGTTCTGTATGAATGGAACAATCAGGCCAGTACAGACACATGTGAGCTGATATTGCTGCTGGATGTGGTGATTGGGCCGATCCTTACATAGCAATTGCTCCTGTCGCCATTGCTGGTCTGGCCGAAGGGACAGGTTTTGCAGTCGTTTATGCTATTGGCCTGCGAGGTGTAGTAGATGGGCGAGTTGTATTTGCCGGCGGGGCAGAACTTGCATCTAGTAGAACGATGATCATCCTGATCCTGATAGGAGTTGGCAGGACAGGCTGCAGGCACGCGAAAGTGAGTTGCATCGGACACCGAGCCTATCAGTAGTTGCCGTGTTGTTGAAACGTACTGTAGCACCGCTCGTAGATCAAGAAACGACTAGCATGGTGGTGTGTGATCACGATGGGCAAGGTGGCAAGTGCACAAACCCGAAAAAGTCAAAGGTTCATGAGGTCAAGCGAGGGTGGCGCACTACAGACACTGTCCACAAAAAGATTGCATACCCGAGATATTCTCCTTCATCGCACTCTTCTCGACTGCCGCCGCCGCCGCCACCAAAGGCCGTGGAGGGGATGGTGACAAGGGCAAGGAGAAGTATGGCCAGCAGGGCCAGACGGCATGGGTGGAGTGGGGCCGTCATGGTGCGATGCTTTCTGCAGGGAGGCACCGACACCTCAGGCAGCAAGTCCTGGATGACAGCGGAGGCCGACATGGTGAGGGGCAGCCCCGGCCGCGCGTCGTGCGGCACGGTACAGAGCAAGCAGTTGGTGGAAGATGAGGTGTGCTGATCGATGGAATTGGTTGATGGATGGCAGGCACGAGAGGAAATGGGAGAGCAGGATGGTGGGTCGGGGAGATGAAAGTAAACAAATGGACAGTTTGCTGGGGGGCGGGGGTTTGGACAACTCAACACAAAAACGCGCAAAGGTGGACTCACAATGGCGATGGGACCGAAGCGAGGCCTGATCCTGGGCAGGACCGAAACAGAACGAGTGACTCTCTCGCTGTCCCTGTGTGTGAGAAGGGAGAGAGAGAGAGAGCGCCGTGCGTGTGTTGGTGTGTGTGTTGGGGGAGATGTCGCTGAGCCTATAGCTCAACAGGTGGTGGGGGTTCGCCATGTTGATGACGGATTTCATGCAACCCAACTAGTAAACTTTTGTGTGTGTGTGTGTGTGTGTGTGTGTGTGTGTGTGTGTGTGTGTGTGTGTGTGTGTGTGTGTGTGTGTGTGTGTGTGTGTGTGTATGGGGTGCGGCTGGAGACCTGTTGCGCGGTTTGCTCTGACGAACCTGATGTGACCCTTTGGGGTTGAGGACCCGCCTTGGGACTGGGAAGTCGATCAGAGAAGCAGGTTGCAAGTCGTTTGAGGCCGGGGTCTAACCTAGAGCTGAACGAAGAGAACGGCCGAAGGCGTTTGGAGAAGATGGGGGCAGGTATCAGATGAGATGGATGGTCGGGGGGCGCTAGCACGTAAAAGAAAGGAGAAAGAAGGTCAACGAAACAAGAGAGACCAGCAACCGGATCATGTGATGTCGGGGGACGAGCACACAACACACACATTTGGCGCCGGCGTTTGGGACGGCAGGCCGAGGGGCACAACCAGAACCATGGGGTGCGAAAGCGCAAAAAGACAGATAGAGACTCAGAGAGAGAGCATGTGTGTGTGTGTGTGTGGATGACGACGGCTGGGAGATGTCGTCGCGCTGCACAATGTGGAGATGTGTTACTCAAGTATCGTCAAGCGACACCGACACACACAGAGAGAGAGAGAGAGAGAGAGAGAGAGAGTGTGTGTGTGTGTGTGTGTGTGTGTGTGTGTGTGTGTGTGTGCGGTAGGTGGCGCAACCACGCATCAAGGCACGACCATGTGAAGCTCACCTGCTCTGTGTGGAATGGCAGGAAGAACGCGGTTCAATCACTATGCTGCCCCGGTGAGAGGAGAAATGGCAGCCGGGTGGCGGTGATGAGACAATGAGCGAGGCCCCGAGGGAAAAATAAAAAATATTGTTATGACGTCGATCAACCTCCCAACGAGTCAGGACCTGGCTGGCCAAAGGGAAGGTCGCCACATATCACGAAGCAGCGAAGCAGAGGGGCGTTGTTGCATGCGCAGAACTGCAAAGGGGCTTTTCCTTTACTTTTACTTGCGTTCCTTTCCTTAGTTTCCTTAGTTTCCTTAGTTTCCCTTACAGCTGTGTGGGTGGTATTTCTTGGAGGAAGGCTAGATCAACTGGCACGTGATACTTCAGGACGAATTCGAACCAAAAAAGATGAGAGTGACAAGACATGATGGGAGAGAAAGCTCTTGGGCTGCCCGCATGTTCGGGGTACCGCCGTTTGGCAAGGCGACGGCCCATTGGACTGCCATTTGAACCGTATATCGCCTCGTCCCGTTACACATTCACGGCTGCGCGGCTGCCCTTTTTTTCCTTCAGCATGGAGCCCATTACGTTTGGATCCGCTTGACCACGTTTACACATGTCCTTCCCACAAAGGCTTCGAGCCATTCACAACGCGCACAAATCCCTTTGATAATCCTCCTCGTGATGGGTCCTGCAAGAACCCCATCGAAACCCATTCCTGCGGCTGAAGCTTGTGGGTACACATGTAACTTTTAATTCTTATGTCTTGTCTCTCTATTAAAGCTCGCTGGATGTTCCCTCTCTCTGCTTCTCCCTTTCATTCTTCTTTGACGCATGCGCTCGTTTTCTCTCCCTCTCTTGTTTTGTGTGCCCTCTCTGCCCCTCTCTCTGTCTGCGACATCGCAAGGCCATACTCTGTCCGGAGTCTTGGATTTCAACCACTCTTCATGGGCTCGATTGGATTACTTCGCGACACAGGGAGAACCAACCTTGTCCCACCTTCTCGCGATATCGCCCGGGCCTCCAAAAGATTCACTCATCGCCATGAGCATCAAAAACAAGTGCGTGTTGCTGCCATCATCAGCACTCTCGACCCACTTGACCCGCTTGACCCGTTGGACTCTTGGAGCGACATCACCGGTTTGGTCAAAATGAGAAAGAGAAGGATCCAAGGACCGCGGTTCACAGCCCCCTCTGGCCCGCAGAACTTTTTAAGAGGGACACTCGTAACTTGCCGCGTTCGGTCCACTATTGATTAATGTTTGCCCCGTTTTTTGCTTGATGGTTCAGCAACAAAGAAAAAGGACACATACAGAGAGTCGGTTGAATTCTGATGGGGGTCGGCTGACTGGGCCTGGGAGAAAACACACACTAGAGTAATCCTTAGGAGCTCGCAGACCCGTTGCCTCGCCGGGTGGCTGGGGGTAGAATGTGACAACGCGCGCGCGCGTGTCTGTCTGTGCACGCACAGTTTCTTAAATCTTGGCCTTGGGGAACATGATGTCAAACAGCACGTATTTCCTACATCGAGAAACAAAGCAGAAGCATCAGGTCGGCTAGATCAGGTCCCCACATGCCTGCCACGACTCACCTCGTGTAATTGAGAATTCGGTTGTGCTCGTCCACCTCGCGCGGAATGTGCACCTCGTCGCGACGCACGCTCACCTCAAACCCTGTGGTCCAAACGCAGCAGCATCAATGAACGGGTCTTGTCCAAGATCGGCCCAGCCACATCAGACCCTCCCCCGCTTGCATGCACGTACCGCGCTCCGCAAGAATGGCCACAACAATTCGCAACGCTCGGGTCCGCTCCTGGAAGATGTCGTGATAGCTCTTGACGACGGCTCGACCACTTGATTGGCTGCGCACACGCACACACGCACACGCCCCCAAGCGTCGATTAGCGGTTGGTGTGGGGCACCTACAATCTCCCCTAGCTTGCGTGGCAGGCCACAAGCTCTTGGTCTTGGCTGCCAACCAAGAAGGCGTACCAGAGGCGGATCTGGGGCAGGAAATCGCGCTGAATAATTGTGATGCACTCATCCACCAGCTCCGGAGAACGAGCCTCATATTGGTCCAGCTCCTTCACCAGGTTGGCCCGAAAGTGCAAAGAGATGGATTCCGCCGAAGGCAAGGTCTGTAGACGGGCAAAGGTCGCGTCCGACAGCTCCAGCGAGCTCTGGTACGCAAACTCGCGCATCACACGCGCGCGCACCTGTAGCCCCACGACAGAAGCATATTTGAAAGGAGCGTAGTGAGTGCTCGCCCCAAGATAGCAAACCCCAGCCGCCACCTCGCTCAAGCAGCCAGAACAGCAGTCACACACGCAGCGGAAACAAAGGGGGAAACTACAAAATAATCAAATAATCAAGCTCAAACTGGCCATGGAAGGCATGGGGCTCAAATGCCATTGAGAATGGTGCTGTCATCCGGGACCGCGGCAACAGAACCTTGATGCTGTCGTACCTCCTCGATGGATCCGTCGGCAGCGATAAAGTGGTAATTGAAAAGTGATCGCAGCGTCCGAATGGGCTCGTAACCTTCCTCGCTACGTAGAAACAACGCGGACCACCGCCGCAGGCCAGCATCAGTCATAGGGTCACAGCCACAGGTGGTGCTGAACGGCTCGACCGACGTGCAATGATGCAACAGGGCCGATCAACGCGTCCAAAGCCAAGGCATACCGGAAAATTCGGTAGCGCTTGCGCGCCAGCGTTTCGTCAATGTCCGTTGTGCGGTTCTCCACCTTCCGACCCTCACCCGAAGCTTCCACCTGCACGGCGCGACGCGTGACAAGCCCAGAGCAAAGTGTGAGCCGCGCGCCAGGACCACGGTTCAAGTCACAAGCGTTTAGTGGTTAAGGCGAGATAAAGCGGGTGCAAACTTTATGATCGGAATCAAGCTAAACATACGCGTGCATTGTGCTCTTCGACTTGCTCGCCACGCTTCATTTGCCGTTTGACACTCTCCTCTTCACCAATGTACAGCATGACAACCTACCGGCCCCGGTGCACCGGACGCAAGACACACGTGCGTAAAAAGGCAAAATTAATCTGCGACAAAGACTAGACCCCAATCGCTATAAAAATTGGGGTAAGGTCAAAAAGCCTGCACAGCGACTGACATGGAACTTTGGACGTGGAAAGTGTGTGGCAAGGTCCGTGTGGAAGAATTCGCGATGGAGTTCGGCCATGCGCTGCTGCAGCTGTTTGATGACCTCAACCTGCATCGCCATTCGCGAGAAAATAAGTATGACGGTAAGAAAACAGCAAGAGCAAGCAAGGCCTGCGGGGCAGAAGAAGAAACGACCAGACGAGCTGCTCACGCAGACACAAAAATAGCAGAGAAAGCGGGCAGGAGAAGCCAGCAACATGCCTGCACACGAGTGCGGGGAAATCCGTCGACAACGACACCATGGCGATGCTTGGAATTGAGGAGCGAGCTGAAGACAGCGTAAATTACGTCCGAGTCGTTGACCAACATGGAAGTGCTCTTCATCTTTTGTGCCTCGGGTGTCTAGATAGGGGTGAGCAAAAATCGAATTGAATACAGCATTTATCCAGCGAGTCCGAAGCGCAGGCGTAGGGGTAGTGAATCTTGGCTGACCTGAAGCAGGGAACTGGTGGCAATGTGGTTGAGGTGAAGCTCGTTTACAAAGTACTTGGCCATTGTACCTTTACCCGAGCCTGAGGTGCAAAGCACAGGCAAATACCATCAGCATGTGGCGCCAGACGTCAGTACAGTACAGTTGCTACGAGAAAGGGGAAGACAGGAGGCCTACCGGGGGCGCCGTTCAGGTAGACAATGGTCCTGAACAGAGGAGGATTTGCCGAGGGTAGAGCAAAAGAGCCGGCGATGCGAAAGATGGCATGCGTGAGCGCTCGGATCTGGCGTACACACACGCACACACACTCCCAAGCGTTTGCTCGTGCCCTCGCTATGGCTTGCTCTTCCTAGAAACCTCCTTTGTATGGGCCAGCGCAAGCAGCTGCCAACCCGACTGAGCACGCCCGTGTGAAACGTACGAGGGGAAGCGGAGGTTGGCGCGACCATGCTCGCGCTCGAGGCGGCGCCAGACGGCATCAAAGATGGAGCGAGCAATGTCTGGCGAGTCGTGCACGTCTGGACCTTGGGAGGTTGTGCCACGACGCACAGCCTTGCCGCCCACCTCGACCTTGCCATTAGCGCCATCTTCTTGCGGCGCATCCGCGACCGTGACTTCGGCCGCTTTGGCGTCTGAGGCCCAGGTGCGGCGGCTGTTACTGCCCAGCGCTTGACAACGACTGAGCCAGCCCAGTGCTGATGGCGACGTCAATCGAGAACCCGTGGGTGCTACAGCTATGCTGCTCAGACGTGCTGAGAAACGCGCCTGATGCAACAGGGAGACCAACTTCATGACGCGGCGTTGTGAAGCACACACGTGCGTCTTGAGAACCTGGGTTGAAAACAAGAACCGTCGTCCAGAACGAGGTGAGCCGGTGCCAACTGCGCGCCCTGCTGGTATTTCCGGAGCACACGGTCCGATGATCTGTCACGCGCACACACGCGCATGCACGCACACACTCACACACGCACACCAAGATGAAAAACACCGCGGTTCCTGTTGTGCCCGCAGATTGAATCCCCGACGACGAGGAGAAAAAGGAGAAAAAAAAAAAAGAAGTTGTGTGTGCTTTCTGGTTGGGTTGTGCCACGGCATGCGCGGGCGCAGTCGAAGAGCAGGCGGAGATTGACCCACCTGGTAAACTCAGATACGAAGAGGAGACAGCAGGAAATGCTACAGGGACACAGCCTGAGGTCAAAGTGCAAGGTTAGGGACTGAAGCGTGACGGTCAAGCAGTCGGCCGACACTCGTCGCTTTCGCACCAGACAGCCTCTCTTCCCCTCCCCACCACCATCTTTCCGCCTCTTCCCCTGTCTCCATCCCTCTCCATCCCTCTCCTTCTCCATCTCCAACTCTATCTCCATCTCTCTCTCCTCCCCCGTCCCCGCTCACTGCCATTTGCCCCCCTCCCCCTCCCCCTCCCCTGCCGTCGTCTTCCCACTGCCAGTCTTCCCAGCGCCACACACACACACACACACACACACACACAACTCACCCAAAACACAAGAAAAAACATCTCACAACAACAACAACAACAACAACCGTTTTGCCTTCTTTGCGTACACAGTTAACCCCTTTGCCTTTAGACCCTTGAGCAGATTAAGCTTAAACGTCCTGTATTAGGTAATAATGGAGTTGGGAGCAGAGCAAACAAATGGCTGACAACAGAGGGTGAATGGTACTAAATGATATTGGGAATGACAGTTGGTGGTGAGATTGATGTCAGATTTTTAAGGTCAACCATGGCTGCGTCGCCGCCACCGCTCCCGCCGCGCCGGCCCTGGTGGTCGAGCCCGTTTATCAAATTTGGTGCACCCATGCTGGTATGTACGCCGTGGAGGCGTGTGGCTACAGCCGCTGTTTGCACTCATGTGAACTGGTTCATCTTTGCGTACCCTTCATACCGCCGCGCTCGCACACAAACAGTTGGCCGTGTACTTGGGCTCGCTGGGTCTGCAAAGATTCCTTGAACTCCGAGTCGCCATGCGGGATGAGAAGAAACACCAGGTACCACACACAAGCCGTCATTCTTGCCGTCACCACCTGCTTGTGGTCTTTCAACTCGAGCCTGAGACCCGCCCTTGTGCATCTGATACCTCGCTGCCGTGTCCGTGGGTGATAGCTCACCGACGAGGAAGTACGCAAGCTGTCACGACGACCCAAGCAAGCCTTTGACCTGCAGGGGGAATTGCGGGTATGGTCATGCCCTGCTTGTTTGCTTGTTTCAAACCAAGTGTGACGCTGGCCGCTCAACTACCCTCCGTGCACCTCAATGTTTGTGCTCGCTCTTGCCCGGCCACAGCGTCTTCAAACAGAACTAGACATTGAAGATTGGGAACAACGGCGCAACCCCCGTGCGGATGACCCAGCCTCGATTCGTGCCGCTGGCCCCCGCACAAACCCTTAACTCAACCCAACGGGCCAAGGTCCCCTGTTTGATCTCCTTCCAGCAGTAGCCCTGTTCAGAGCAAGATCATTTACAACGACACCCACTGCTTGGGCTCGTTCAAGACTCACACTCGCTCATCGTCGCTGTCTGAAGCACCATCTTATCCGCCACCACATTGCCAATGAGCCCAGCTATCTACACCGCAACTTACCCTTCCCCCCAAACCCTCGCTGTTGCGCCATGGACTGCATCCGGTCGCCCGGGCTGCCATTTTGTCTGACATCGTTCAATCCGCGATTGACTTGTCAGACATTTTGCAGTGCCGCAAGAAGGCGAGCAACGGCTGGTAGCGCGATGGCCCTTGACTATACAGATGCGCCTCAGCTTTAATTTTCCTATTGTTTTACCTGTGAAAATGATAATTGAAAACATTCGGAAGATAAGCCAGCGCCACCACTCACACCCCAATACCCCCCTCCAAGCCACCACCAAGCCAAACCACCACACACTCACACCACCACTCATCATACCTGTCCCCCCATCAGCCTCTTGCGCAGCGAATGTACCTTAATATGTTGTTCAGCGGGATAGTTCGGTCACCTCCTTGAAAGTAACATATGTATTCCCTTTTTGTAACAACATATTGCTCTTGGGATTGAGGCAGGTGCGATTAATTGGCAGTCAGTATTTCGGGTCGTGCTCGGCGATTCTGTCTGCTGTGCGTTTCAAATCAAGCACAGCAGAAGCGCTAAATTTTTGCGGATCAAACGAGGGTGCTCTTGTGTTCATACGCTTCCTGTGGATGCCATAGCAGCCCAAAGACCAGAAAATCATTTATTTTGAAATAAATCCCATTTCTTTTCCATACGAAACTTATTTGGCTTTGACTCTCTAGGGCTACATGGCTCTGATTGGTATGTCAAATGGCAGCGCCATAAGACGAGTCAGCGAAGCAATGAGACAACTTGGTGGGTAGAAGCAGATGGACAAGACAAGTTCCGATTGATCAATGGTCATTCAAGGTTTATTTCGATTGACAAACGCCCGGGACGATTTTTTTTTCTAAACACTTAGTAAGCAAGCTGTTTCCTCATTGGGTGGACTTAGACGATTTTCTCTTCTTGGGATGTGGTTGCCACTGCGCCACTCGTGCAAGGTGTGTTCGACGTGGAGACCGAGTTTGGACGATTGATGGGGAAGAGCTACGGTCCACAGCGGCGCTTGAGGCTTCTCGTGTTCG